GTTTTTGATTTCTCTTTCCTATCCTCAGCTTGGTCCTGGGTACCTCACTCTGTCTCAGAGTTTCTGTCTTAATGGGTGCTCCTCAGGGCTAACCCTGCTATGCTATGGGCCCTCCCGGCATACGTTGGGCATACGTTGGTCTTACCCAGGACGGGGCCTCTCTTCTCTCCACTTCACACAGCAGCTGTCTAGATTTGATCCTATGTTCTTTCTCTGGTCTCCTGGAATCACTGAAGAGGTCAGGTCTTGGCACCTCTCTTCTCTGTATCTAAGGAAACCTGATTCCTGGAATCCTAGGAGACACTTTAGGGCTTATTTTGGTCCGATCCCTGCTTTAAAGAACAGGAATCTTGGCTTTCCCAAGGTCACACAACAGCAGAGTGGCAGGACCAGAATCAGAACACATAACCTCCAGAGACCTTGACCAGGGTCATCAAGATCATGGCATCGTCTTAAGTCAGCAGAGCATAGCGCTTGCCACCAGGCATGTCTGGGGTCAAACTTGTAACTGGCCGTGTATTGTGTGAAGTTAGGGGCCTATTTAATGTCTTTAGCCTCAGGTTCCTCATCCTTATGGGCAGGAACCCACAAGGCTGTTAAGACACTCCAGTACATTTTAAAGCATGTTAGCATTTTTTTTTTTTTTAGCATGTCATCGGCCCTGTTCTTTTTTTATTTATTGTATGCATAGTATTTTGCCTGCATGGATGCCTACGTGACAGAAGAGGGCACCAGATACCATTACAGATGGCTGTGGCTTGCTGGGAATTGAACTCAGGTCCTCTGGAGGAGCAGCCAGGGCTCTTAACCACTGAGCCATCTCTCCAGCCCAATCAGCCTATTTAAATGTAGATTCTTCTCTGATTCTTTCAGCCTTCTATTGCCAGTTGCACCTGTTTATCTGCCTATTTATTTACTTATGTGTGTATCTGTTTGTGGTGATGGGGGTAAAGCCTGGGGTCTTGTGCCTGCTTGGCGGTTGCTCTCACTGAGAGCCCTTTGCTTTTGGATTAGCCCAGCCTCCCATTTCTAACCATCTCTAGCTGCTGTATCCCCCAAGGGACGTCAGAATCTCATAGCTGGCTTCTAACTTTGCATTTCTCTCTCCACCCCACAGCGGTACAGGAGGAGCGGCAACGGGGCAAAGACAAAGACGGGGACGGGGATGGGGCTGGGGGAGCCCCTGAGGAGATGCCTGTGGACAGGATCCTGGAGGCAGAGCTTGCTGTGGAGCAGAAGAGTGACCAAGGCGTTGAGGGTCCCGGGGGAACCGGGGGTAGTGGCAGCAGCGTGAGTGATGGGGCCATCCCTTCTCTCTTGGGTGGGGGTTGGGGAGGAGTCCAGGAGTGCTCTATCTCTCTGCCTCCCTTCTTTCAATCCCTCTGCACCTTGCCCTCAACTGGAAGGCCTCTCACTATCTGAGGTGAGCCAGGCGTAGTGGCACTTGCCTATAATCCCAGCCACCGGGAGATAGAGACAAGTGGATCTCCGTGAGTTCAAGGCCAGCCTGGTCTACATAGCAAGTTCCAGGCCAGTCGGGGCTACATAGTGAGACCCTGTCTAAGAAGTCTGCCTCTGATGTGGGGTGACTGCGCCCTCGTCTCTGCTCCTGCTGTCTACCTGGAGCAGAGAGGAGTCTGAATTACAGAGATGGGTTCCGACGGGGCTTGAAGGGATAAAGAGGGGTGTCGAAACCTCCGCCAAGGAAGGCATCTCCACCCTTCCCATGCACCTCCTGGTCTCTGCAGCCGAATGACCCAGTGACTAACATCTGCCAGGCAGCTGACAAACAGCTGTTCACGCTCGTTGAGTGGGCGAAGAGGATCCCACACTTCTCCTCCCTGCCCCTGGATGACCAGGTCATACTGCTGCGGGCAGGTCAGTGACCTTGAGTCTCTTTGACCTCTTGACCTGTCACCCTCTGTGTCCTCCTGACCTTCGGTGACCCTAGTAGCCTTCCTTCTCTCGCATGTTCAGGGAGCTTGACTTGCTGACTTGCCCCCTGTTTTCTCTGTGCTTGGCTCCCATGGCCCGGTGTCTGGCTGCTGACCCTCGGTGCCCTCTGGCCCCTAGGCTGGAATGAGCTCCTCATTGCCTCCTTCTCCCATCGGTCCATTGATGTCCGAGATGGCATCCTCCTAGCCACGGGTCTCCATGTGCACAGAAACTCAGCCCATTCCGCAGGCGTGGGAGCCATCTTTGATCGGTCAGTGGCCCTTGGCCAGGCTGTCCTGTAGCTAGAAGGGGTGGGGCTATAGGCTGGTCCGTGTCCAAGGCTGGCTGAGCTGTGACCTTTGAGTGACCTGCAGGTCCCTCTCCAGGGTGCTGACAGAGCTAGTGTCCAAAATGCGTGACATGAGGATGGACAAGACAGAGCTTGGCTGCCTGCGGGCAATCATTCTGTTTAATCCAGGTAAGAAGAGGCCATCCAGCCTCTCGGCCCAAGGCAACCCTGCCTGGAGTCTCCTCTTCTCCAGCAGCGCCTCCCCTCACCCCCAGTGAGACCCTCAGCCCAGACATCTCTTAAGCTGACCCTGAAAAACAAAACAAAACATTTCACTGATGTCTTCCCCTTGTGACCAGGGTCCACAGACCCAGGGCCTCATTTTCCTGAGGGGCAGCGCCCTGAGGGCCCGTCTGCTCGCCTGTCTGGACTTGCCTTACCTGCCCTCTTCCCCTTGTTCTCCCTCCTTTGCCTTCCCAGATGCCAAGGGCCTCTCCAACCCCGGCGAGGTGGAGGTCCTGCGGGAGAAGGTGTACGCGTCCCTGGAGACCTACTGCAAACAGAAGTACCCCGAGCAGCAAGGCCGGTGAGAGGGGCTTCAGGGCTGTGGCCCCGCAGAGGGTGAGGCTGGTTATGCCCAGGGCCTGACTGGTGCCGGCTCTCACTCCGTCCTGCCCCCCACCTCAGGTTTGCCAAGCTGCTGCTGCGTCTCCCTGCCCTCCGCTCCATCGGCCTCAAGTGTCTGGAACACCTGTTCTTCTTCAAGCTCATCGGCGACACCCCCATTGATACCTTCCTCATGGAGATGCTCGAGGCTCCCCACCAGCTAGCCTGACCCGACACACACATGTGCTGCTCAGCAGTGGGGAGCACTGTGGAAGAGGACTTGCGCCTGGGCAGGGTGGGCGGGGCCAAGAGCCCAGCCAGAGCCGTGGGCAAATGGTGCAGAGGAGGGTGCTCCTGCAGCCTCAAGGGATCTGGTGGCCCCGAGCAGGGTTTCCTGGTCTCCAGTCAGAAGGGACCCAGATCCCTGTGACGACCACATGTCTACCTTCAGTGGCCTTGAGTCTCTGAATTTGCCGGGGTCTCCCTGACAGGGGCGACTCTCATCCCGGCTCCCCCAGCACAAAGCACTGGCCCTGCTCACAGGGCCCGGCTCCCTTCTTCTCAAGAGTGGAACGGAGCTCCTCTAGAAAGGGCATCGTGGAGCGGGCCCCCGCCCCAAGTTGATGGTCTTGGGAGCAGGGCTCTAATAGTCCTTTATCATCCCCAGCTTGACAGATGGGGGCAGAGGGAGGGGACCCACCTCCGCCTGTCAGCCTCTATGCAGCTCCTGCAGTCAGACTGACGAATAAAGGGTGTGGTGAAGGGGCTGGTGGAGATGGAGGAACCGACGGCTATTTTTAATTTCCTCTGAGGAGAGACTGGGAGTTAGACTCAAAGAAGTACTGTACATCCCCAGGTTGACGTCAGTGCCAGGACTGGAGGTGGCATGTGGTCAAGGAGGCCTCTCAGGTGGTCTGTCCCAGTGGCTCTCTGGGCGCTGCCTCCCTCACCTCCCTGGCCTGTGGAAGGGGTCTGGGCTGGGGGGGGGGTGCTGGTTTGGGTGGTGTTTCCTTTTACAGCCATCCCTACTCCTCAGCACACAGGCTGGGGACAGAGAATTGGTGCCGGTGGCCCAGCTTTCAGAGATGGGTGCTGGGCTGCATGGTTTTAGCCCCAGGTCTCTTGTAAGCAGGGTGGGGGGAGACCTCCCCCCTTTCACTCACATAAAATCGCTTTCCAGTTAAAATAGCTGTTTTCTGGACTGAGGTGACTGGGTGGTGGGCACCATGACATCCATCTAGGTGTAGGGACATTCGGTGAGAAATACCCCTGGGTGCTGCAACAGCCCGAGGTTCCCTGGGGCTGCAGAGGCGGTGCAGGGTGGGAGACACAAGGCGAGCTTTGTCGGGAGGGGGAGAGGGTGTGCCAGGCTGGGGGCGGGGCTGCCCACGGAGGAGGGAGACCTGCTGCTTCTCAAAGG